GGTGGACAGTCTTCAAGCTAGTTTGCTTTTTAAAATTCACACCACATATAGTAAATATTTTCATGTCAGTACTATGCTTTTTTTTTTTTTTTTTTTTTTGAGGACGCAGTCTCGCTTTGCGCCGGGCTAGAGTTATAGCGCGCGTGGCGTCAGCTCGCTCAGGCAGCCTCCGACTCAGGCCTCACTGGCTTCCTGCTCGGCTCCCTCCCGAGTAGCTGGGACGATAGCATGCACCACCACGCTCCAGATCTGTTTTTAATTTTCTATATATATATATATTCTTTTTTTGTCGGCCAGTTAATTTCTTTCTAATTTTAGTAGAGACGGTTTCGGTCGGCTCTTGCTCAGGCTGGCCTCAAACCTCCTGGCCTCCAGCTGATCCCTGCTCAGTCCCTAGGAGTGGGACTCCAGGCATGCCGCCACCGCCCGTAATCTTTTACGTATAGTTTTAGTGCCAGCTCATTTCTTTCTGATTTTTTTTTTTTTAGTAAGAGACAGGTCTCACTCTTGGACTCAGGGCCTGGCTCAATCTGACCATCTGAGCGATCCTCCTTGCTCGGCTCTCCTCCCGGAGTAGCTGGGACGACAGGCAGGCGCCACGCACGCCCGCTTTGTTTTTCTATATATTTTAGTCGTCCAGGTCATTCTTTCTATTTTTTGATTGACTATAGGTGGGTCTCGCTCTTGTCAGGCTGGCCTCCAACTCCTGACTCGAGCGTCTCCCGCCTCGGCCTCCCGAGTGCTTGGGAGGAAGGCCTGAGGCTTCGCGCCGGCTCATTTTTCTTATATATATTAGTTGGCCAATTAATTCTTTCTATTTCTTAGTTAGAGACGGGGTCTCACTCTTGCTCAGGCTGGCCTCCGATCCTGACTCAGCGAGCTCCCGCTCTCGCTCGCTCCCTGGTAGCTGGGGACTTCAGCGCGCCACCACGGCCCGCTCGTTTTTTCTATTATTTTTAGTCGTCGGCTCGTTTTTTTTTTTTTCTTTTTTTTTTGTAGAGACGGGGTCTCGCTCTGCTCGGGCCGCTCGACCTTCGGCCCGAGCTGATGACCCGACGAAGCGAGGCCGGTGAACTCTGGGACCGCGGGGGGCGGCCGGCACCTGGCTGTGGGCTCTACCCTGTGGGGTCCTGAGGGCTGGCGGGTCCCTTCTCGGGTCCCTCTCGGGTCCCGGGTGGCAGGGCGGCCTCGGCGCCGCCGGGCAGGTGGTGTCCCCGCCCCGCTGACCCCCGACTTCCTTCCTCCCCAGTTGGAAGGATGACGTCTAGGAAGAAGGTGCCCTGCTGAGGTCATCATCCTGGGAGATCGGGGAGGTCTGCGCACCCCTCCGGCCTCTTCCTCGCCCGGGCCTCCACACGCCGCTTTCCTTCTCGCCGCGGGCGACCAGGGCTCACTCCCGCACCGGGCAGGTCTGGGCTTGGCCGGTCTGAGTCCTCGTGTCTGGCCCTGCTCTCCGTCTTGTCTGTCTGGTGTCTCTCAGGTCTCTGTCCGTCCTCCCATTTCCTGCTCCTCCTCATCCTTCCTTCCATCTTGCTTTCCTTTTTTTGCCTTCTTCCTTCCTGCCTGCCTGCGCCTGCTTTCCTGCTTCTTTGTTTCTTCTTCCTTTATTTCTTCCTTCCATCCATCCATTACTATCCATCCATTCTTTCTGCTTTTTTTTCCTTCTTTCTTCCTTCCCTCCCTCCCTCCCTTCCCTTTGTTTCTTTCCTTCCTCCTTGTTTACTTTATTTCTTTTCCCTCCCTCCTCCTCCTCCTTCTTCCTCTCCTGTCCTCCTTCTTCCTTCCTTCCTCCTTCCTCCTTCTTCTTCCTTCCTTCCTCTTTCTTCCTTCCTTCTTCTTCTCCTTCCTTCCTTCCTTCCTTCTTCCTTCCTTCTTCCTCCTTCTCCTCCTTCTCCTTCCTTCTTCCTTCTCTTCCTCCTTCCTTCTTCTTCCTCTTCCTTCTTCCTTTCTCCTTCCTTTCCTTCCTTTCCTCCTTCCTTCCTTCCTTTCCTTCATTCTCCTCTTCTTCTTCTTCTTCTTCCTCCTTCTCCTTCCTCCTCCTTCTTCCTTCCTTCCTCTTTCCTCCTCCTTCTTCATTCCTTCCTCCTCTCCGTCTTTCCTCCTTCCTCCTTCTTCCTTCCCCTTCTTCTTCCTTCCTTCCTTCCTTCCTTTCCTCCTTCCTCCTTCCTTCCTTCCTTCCTCTTCTTCCCTCCCTCCTTCCTTCTCTCCCTCCCTCCCTCCCTCCCTCTCTCTCTCTCTCTCTCTCCCTCTTTGGTCTCTTTCCCTGCTTGCCTCCTTTTTCTCTTCCTTCTTCTCTGTTCCTCTTCTTCTCCTTCCTTCTTCTTTCCTTCTCCTTCCGTCCTTCTCCTTCCTCTCCTTCCTCCTTCCTCCTCCTTCCCTCTCCTTCCTTCTTCCTTCTCTTTTCCTTCTTCCTCCTTCCTTTCATTCCTCCTTCCTTCCGTTCCTTTCCTTCTTCTTCCTTCCTCTTCCCTCTCCTTCTTCCTCTCCTTCTCCCTCTTCCGTCTTCCTTTCTTCTTTTCCTTCCTCGTCCCTCTCCTCTCTCTCCCTCCCTCCCTCCCTCCGCGGGTCCTCCTCCTCGTCTCTCTCTCTCTCCCTCTGTGTCTCTTCCTTCTTGCCTTCCTTTTTTTTCTCTTCATTCTCCTTTCTCCTTCCTTCCTCCTTCCTTCTCCTTCCTTCCTTCTTCCTCCTCCTCCTTCCTCCTCTCCTTCCTTCCTCTTTCTCTCCTTCTTCTTCCTTCTTCTTCTTCCTTCTTCGCTATCTCTTCCTTCCTTTCCTCCTTTCCTTCTTCTCCTCTTCCTTCCTTCCCTTCTCTCTTCCTTCTTTTCTTCCTTTCCCCTTCCTTCCTCTCCTTCCTCCTTTCTTCCTCCTTCCTTCTCTTCTTCTCCTCCCCCCCCTCCCTCCCTCCCTCCCTCCCTCCTCTCTCTCTCTCTCCCTCTATGTCTCTTCTTCTTCCCCTTTTTTTTTCTTTCATTCTTCCTTTTCCTTCCTTCCTTCCTTCTCCGCTTCTTTCTTCTCTTCCCTGTGCAGGCAGCCCTCCACCAGCGCCGTCCCGTGTCGCGACTCCGGGCGGGGGCGAGTGGGCCGGGTCGCGGGCGTGCGTCCCCGGCCGGGCTGGGGGCCGTGGGGCCGGCTGTGTCTGGGCGAGAAAACCAAAACAAAACAAAACAAAAGAAAACGATTTTAAGACTTAATTTTTTTTTTAAAAAATGACGACGGCGGACAGATAAACGCAGGCTGAGCAGCTCCTTTCCAGACGCCCGGCCCGCACACCCAAGCGGTCTCTGTCTCGCGCTTATCCAGTCGCCAGACACCCTTTATACGCAGATTTTTATTTTTTCTTCCTTTTTTTTTTTGAGACAGAGTCTGACTCTGGCGCCGGGCTGGGAGTGAGTGCGTTGGCGTCGGCCGCGCTGCACAGCGGCTCCACCTCCGGCTCAGCGAGCCTCCTGCTCGGCCTCCCCCGAGTGTGACTACAGCAGCGCCTCAGCGCCCGGCTCGTTTTTGTGTAATATATTTCTATTGTTTATATAGAAATAGTATATATGAGGTATATATTTTTCGTATGTAAATATACATAACATTATTTTATATTATTATATATATTATTATATATTATATTTTATTATTTATTATTATAACTAAAAAGTAATACGCAAAGTTTTTTATATATACATAAAAAAATGCTGGCTAATTTTTCTTATTTTTTTTTTTTTTTTTTTTTAGTAGAGACGGGGTCTCACTCTTGGGCTCAGGCTGGCCTCGAACTTCTAACCTCAAGCGATCCTCCCGCCTCGGCCTCCCAGAGTGCCGGGACTACAGGCGTGAGCGTCTGCGCCTGGCTAATTTTTTTTTCTATTTTTACTTGTTTGGATAATTTTATTTCTATTTTTTCATAGTAGACACAGGGTCTCGCTCTTGCTCAGGCTGGCCTCCAACTCTTGACCTCGAGCGAGCCTCCCGCCTCGGCCTCCTGGCACGCGCCACCACGCCCGGCTCATTTTTTTCTATATGTTTTTAGTTGTCCAGCTCATTTCCTTCTATTTTTAGTAGAGACGGGGTCTCGCTCTTGCTCAGGCTGGCCTCCAACTCCTGACCTCGAGCGAGCCTCCCTCCTTGGCCTCCTGGAGTGCTGGGACTACAGACGTGAGCCACCACGCCCGGCTAATTTTTTTTTATATTTTTACTTGTTTGGTCTATTTTCTTTGTATTTTTTAATACTAGAGACGGGGGGGTCTCGCTCTTGCTCAGGCTGGCCTCCAACTCCTGACCTCCAGCGATCCTCCTGCCCCGGCCTCCCGGAGTGCTGGGATGAGACAGGGCTGAGCCTCCGCGCCCGGCCCAGATTTTTTTTTTTTTTAAAACATGCAAGGATCAGCGTGAGGTTCAGGCCCTTTCTCTCTGACTTATATCCGTGTCTGTTTTTTCTGTTTTTGTGTTTCCTCTCAAATTTCAGGGTCGGTAAGACGTCTCTCATGAACCAGTATGTCAACAAGAAGTTCAGCAACCAGTACAAAGCCACAATAGGAGCAGACTTCCTCACCAAGGAGGTCATGGTGGACGACAGGCTAGTGACCATGCAGGTAAGCGGGCCTCGCGGCCGGGCCTCCACCTTTTGCTCGCTGTGACTCTTCTCCACGCCTGGATGTTTCTCTTCCCGCGTCTTCCAGTCCTGTTGTGTTTTTGTTTGTTGTTTTTGTTATTTTAGTTTTTTTTTTTTGGAGACAAGAGTCTCACTTTGCTGCCCGCCGGGCTAGAGTGAGTGCCATGGCATCAGCCTCGCTCATAGCAGACTTCACCTCCTGGCCTCAAGAGATCCTCCCGCCTTGGCCTCCCTCCCGAGTAGCTGGGACTACAGGCGTGCGCCACCACACCCGGCTCGTTTTTTTTCTGTATGTATTTTTAGTTGGCCAATTAATTTGTTTCTGTTTATAGTAGAGACGGGGTCTCGCTCTTGCTCAGGCTGGTTTCAAACTCCTGACCTC